CTAAAAATAAAGAACGACGGGGAATACATTACATATACTATATTCCTTATTCCTAATGTTTGTCCTAACGTTTATAATATTTTTCGCATTACCAAAATTATTTATAAGTTTAAAGTTTTCGTGACACGAGTAAGTTTGCTATGATTTCCTGATTTCCTACAATGTTGTTATCTGATTGTGAAACAGAATATCCAGTTTATAAAATGTGTCAAAAATAATGTACACTGTGAGCGCTGATTCATTAAAGTCACTATGCAGTTGCAAAAAAGTTCTTTTAAGTAAATTAAAAAAGTGGTTTTTATTTCGTTAGAGCTTCTAACAAAATGCAATTTCGATCAATTTTTACCATACCTTGATAAATTTTACCTAGAACTGGTTGATGTCAAGTTAAATTGATAAATGATTCCGAAGAGGCAATTAAGTGGAGTGTGTTTCCATGATAACTTTTGTTATTTTAAAAGTTTTTAATAAGCTATTTCAATTTTCAGAAAGAATTTAAAAAATTAACGACATACATATAGATGTTTTCATTAGAAAAATTAAATATCTTCTTTAATTTATGCTTCAAAGGGCGCAAACCCTTAAAGATGTATTTTAAAGGGTACGTTCACGAAACATTTCTTGGAATTAACCGCATTAGACACCCGAGGTAGAAAGACATTGGCGGCGTGACGTTCACCATAGCAGCTTGCAGTGCATACTGTGTTTTGCAGTTACGAAGGCGTGTTATTTCGTAAATGTATCGTCCTGTGCATTTTCAGTGTAATTTCTTATTAAAATAAACCAATGGAGGTGAAAAATAAAAGAAAAGATGAAAAAATATAATTAAAATGCTTAACCAAACTTAATAGCGGATTCTGTCACAAATTAATAAAAGTTGATACATGGTGTACAATTTAAGACGAATTCCTTCCATTGCTCTCGTAATATCAGTAATACAAAAAAGTGCTTCAAATAAAAATTGCACCAAATAGATTTCTTCACATATTTATATTATATTTGACTATACATGGTATCTCATTTCTTATTCTAGAAAGTACAAGGAATATGTACACATTTTTTTTTAATATCAAATAACATGGATCATCATTTATCAATGTTTTAAATCCAACAAGAAATTCAAAAGTGTAATACTTTACAGGATATTCAATTTCCAAAGAGAAGAATCTGAATACCATGCACAATTAAAAATAATTCATTTTAAAATATGAACAAATTGATTTGGTGCGACATCTATTTGTAGTACTTTTTAGTGTTATTAATATATTGAAGAACACGTCTTAAATGGGACGCCCTGTATATTGCAAATGTCACAATTTCGAGATATGAAATGTCCCAAATTAATGATTTCTGGAACCAAAAAGCAGTTGAGAAAAACAAGGTAAATTATACTTTATATCATTTGTGGTTACGTGACATAATAGTGAGTACAATTTGAAATACCTTGGAAGAAGTATTCTGACACTATTGCCCTCGAAACTACCAGCATGAATGTAAAATAAAACTGTAGCATGCAAATACCGAGAGATCCAGAATGATTGATGGCGCCGCTACTTACAAATATTCTGTGTGCCGCTCTCATATTATCCTATAGTAGGATCGTATACGATGCAAAGTAGAGCAAAAAATTGTCGGCCTTTTGTCAAAGGAAAATCGTGTCATCATTTTTAGGAGGCGTAAGATAAATCATTTCAAATTTAAAATGAAATTGAATGTAAAATCTGAAATACCGCTGCATACGCACTGTGTTCTGGTAGTAGCTGTAGTCGCCCAGGTGCATCGAGTGTACGAACTGGTCGGTTATACGTCAAATACTAACCTGGCGAGCTTTGCCGTCAATTAGAGAGCGCTTCCAAAAAACAAGTAAACAACAGTGGCGCGTACAGAGGTAAAATGTAGTACATATGTGGAATTTAGGAAACAAATTGGATTTATAATAAATTACATTTAAAATAAATAGTTTATGAGAATAAAGGAATTTTTGTAG